TATACCTGGCAAGGTGCCAACTACACCTTTATTTTCAAGGTGGCCTGCACAGAGTGTTTTAGGGCAGCAAACCCTGGTCTCAGGCCACCTTGAATTTAGCTTGAAAACCACAGCTTTGAAGCCTCATGCGCGCCATACCCGGGAACAGAACTGTAGCTACTTGTAGCTACCCTGGGTCCGTATAAATACTATGTTGCTATACCTCTTACACACCTATACAAGTTCAAAGCACGAATGAGACTTCAAAGCTGTGGATTGCTGTGCGTGTGTAGAGGTTCTCAAGCGGCTGACGGAAAGGCAACTTGAAGTACTATACCTGGTAGCTGCACTATGGCTACCCTAGGTCTCTATACCTTGCAAGGTGCCAACTACACCTTTCCATTCAGATGATGCAAATGATGCATTTGGCATTTCTTGCATCACCACCCCTCAAAAATCACCTCCAACACAACCTCAAAAAACCTTCCCTCGAAGCACCCTCCTCCCCCAGCATGTGCCGAGTTGACGTATACCTTTCTCGGGCCACCCCCCCCAGACCCCCTAACTACTCACTTCGTTCGCCAGACACAACTCCGCTAGCGCCTTCTACGAAGGCTGGCTTTCGTAAAGAAATAACCTGACCAATCAGTTTTCCATCTCCGAAACACAAAACAACCCTGCGTGTGAGACTCGAACGATTTTCACACCACAGCTGTCTGAAACGACCGGCGCCACTTTTTTAGGGAAACGACCCGAATCTGGCGGGAAGGACCGTTGTACCAACGCAAGAAGTTCGTGGCAAATGACATCTGACCAATTTCTTCCACGACAGCAGGTTCGATGGTGCTGTAGCCAGCAGGCAGCCGGCTTCCGGGACTTGGCTGTGGGTGACAAGCTCCGGTTTCCTCGTTTCACCCTGGTAGGTCAACCTCCCTTTTCTGTATAGTCCACCAGTCGGTGGTCCAAACCCATCACGCATTTCTATGCATTTCGCATTTCCAACTGCGGCCCGGCGCTTGGTCTGGCCCAACGGGGCCAAACCGGAAGTTAGGTGCTGAACTGAAAGCACCCCCACATGGAACTCTGGGAATGTATACCAGGACCCTCCAACAGGTTTGTAGACTCTGTAGACCCTAACAGGTGGTTTCTGCGCACCTGTTGTCGCCTGGTTTCCACCTGTTGGAGGGTGTTGGTATATATAAATCAATGTTCAAGTTTCATTGGACTGTGTCCGACCTTTCAGAACTTTACCGAACACTCCTGCTCTCGCCGAACCCAGCCACAGGTGACCCCTCCGCTCCTCCAGCTTGCCCATGCGAGTGCTGAGCCTCAGGCGTTCTTTTCTTGACTCAAAATGCGTGGCGAAGGATACAAGGAACTTCTGAAAAAAAAGGTCTTTTCATTCTTGGGAGGGAAAAGCAGGAGACAAGGGGTGTGTTTGCGGCTTCACCGATTGTCATCGGCACGCCATATCGGTGGTGGATGAGCAATCGCTCTCGCGCTGCTGCCTTTCGTCTGGCTACTTTCTTTGCGAAAGGACAAGCGATCTGGGTGAAATAAACAATTTCATTGATTTCGTTCACCCCGTACCTCGTCTTAATGTCTTTGATCAAATCATTACCTCGCCTCGTTGAATTCATTTTACCTCGTCTGCACTCCGGTGGAGATCCGGCTGGAGGCATCTGGGAAAGAGGTTCTGCCTGGCGTGGGTGGAGCCCCTGTAGCTGGTGGAAACTACACCCAGCAGCTCTCCTCTCCAAGACCCAAACCCTCCAAACATGCTCGGAAAAAGTCGGGCCTATTTCTTAAAAGTAGGTTATTTATTTTCGTCTTTGGGGATTCGTGGGAATATTCTGCCTGCCTGGCATGGTGGGTGGAACGGTTGTGGACACTATACACCCAGCAGTGGCCTCTCCAAGCCTCAAACCCTTCTTGCTGCTGCTGCTGGCTGTTGCTGGTGCTAGACTTACCTCGCACATTCATCGTTTTGAACATATTCGTACCTCCTACCTCGTCAGGTGAGCTCGCTATACTTCGCCGCACAGATCGATCCATGCAGCGTGGGCTCTCCGACTTCGCGGGTGCGTAGCCTGTAGCCAGCATGCGACTAGCCCTTTGTGTTCGAGCACAATGAGATCCGCTACGTCTCTGTTTGCCACAAGCCGCTTCAAAAAGAATCCCCCGGTGAGCTGCAGTGACCCACTCACAAGTTCTGGCACCTGGTGCCACGGCAGCCTGGCACCACCGTGTCGAAGGTCTGCAGTCGCCACGCGGGTGTGAGGCGTTGGCTGGTTCTCTCGCAAGGCCACCCCTCGCACGGCGGAGGTGGGCAAGGTGTATTCATCGGCCTGACCGCCCTGACCGGCCGCGCGCGCCTCCCAGTCAGTCGAAAGTTCAACACATGTTGTCACGACTGGCGCCAACACCATGTCCCTTTCCTTTCATTGCTTGCGGGCTTTCTTCTCCTGGGGTGGCAAGCATGGACTGTTTCTTTGGAACTTTTCGGGGGATGCTCGTGCGCGCTCCTTGCCTTCTTACCGCGCTTCTTCTTGCCCTTTCCTGCCTGCCCAGTGTGAGATCGGACTGTTGGCCCAGCGGGGGACTCTTTACTCGGCTCTTTCGCGGCTCCACAGCCGCCCTGGAATCGACATTCCTGCTTCATCCGCACTTCGAAGCAAGCGTAACCGAACGTTCATGCGTAAGTCGGGAGCGTTCGCGACCGCTTGCTGAAGCACGTCGACATGCTGTCACTCTAGCTTCCGCTGCGAACTTTTTCTCTATTTGTCGCACGTTTGCCCTTCGTGAACTTGCTGAATCCAAGGGACGGTGACTTCCCGGGGTTGTCGCACGTTTTTCTTTGGGGATATTGGCGATTGCATTTTTAAAGAGTCGTGCTGGTGTTTGATGTTCTTCGACTTGGGGTTGCTCATTGTTGGTCTATTTACCAAAAAAAGTATGGTTTAGCCATGGTGTGTTCATGTTTGTTCACCATAATATGTGTGTTTGTTGGGGTTTGTTCATGTGTGTTCACTACATAATGTATTATATTTCAGTCTTTATTGGATCTGCTGTGTTGTTGTTGCAAACAGAATGCGAACACTATCTAACCATGCTTTCGAGCAACTCGTTGGAAGGCATGTAAGTCAGCGAACCGTATGATCCAATGCGATCCACGGATCCACGTAACCGCTTGTTGACTACACCTTTTGGAACCTTTTGGGCTGAGACAGGTCTGTGAGCAAAGCTGGCTCTTTCGGTCGTGATGCCACTGGTGCCTGATGCTGAGTTGGAGTTGAATGTCCCAGAGTCAGTGAAAGGGATAGATTCAACATGATTCAGAACATGGGGTCAAAGATGGTCACAAACATTGAATGCTGTACAATGCTGTACATGTACACGTATTTTTATTAGCAACCTTGCACCCAAAAAAAAGCTTTGACTGTCGCAACCTTGCGAAGTTTTGCTATGTCTATCATTGTCTATCTTTGTCTTGCTTACGCGGGGGCTTGATATGACAAGACCTTGACCAAAACATGTAAAGGATGTTTTTTGGAGCTGCTCATGAGAAAGCATAAGACTTCCGACACATTCGCAGATTCAGGATGTCAATCTGGCATCTTCCATCTTTGTCAGGCCAGAAGACGCCAGCGCTTCGATCGCGTTCCTTTGGATCGTGTGATCGATATGAGTTGATCACGAAATGCTCACAAGCGCCGGCCGTCACCTTTTCGAAAAGGAATTCCTTCATTCATCCCCAAACTCTTTCCGGTCTGGACACATAGGAATGAACATGTCTCAGACACAATACGTATAACATGTAACCCCTTAGTCTTGATGATCTTGACAAACACTACGTTTTGAAATGTGTGCACCGGTTCTTCGCCTACAAGTTTCCACTAAACCCCATATGATCCCAGATGTTTTCAGTGGTGAGCCTACAGGTGTCCA